GGATGAACTTCACTTTTCAGAACAACTGGTACCTAACGTAGGTATTTATTGCATTTTAAAACTTGATGCTAGTAATTTTTGGAGAAGGAATGCTACGTCAGTGACAAAGAGGTTGACCACGAGCGACATTCGCTTCATGGTGCTGCTCTATGTTGTAAGGATAACAAACTTTCATTAAAAAGAACAAATTTAATGTTGTTGTCAGCATCAATTAACTCTAATGGGGCTGATTTCTGTCTTTTTTTAAAAAGTGGTAGATGGAAGTTTTTGTTAATTAAATCTCGCTGCTTGCTACGTACACTCATTATTTTAAGCGTGCTTAGATCACTTCACTTTTTGTAAGGTGATTCGAAGCGATTTCGTTAAACATTCATTTTCAGGAGTCCGTTATGTGTTGAAGGACTTTACTTTCAATTCCTCACTAACTAGCACCAAACAAACCTCTGTTGATCCACGAGTGTCCACGTTAAGGCACGATGAGCTGTTCGCCAGTTCTTCATCCCAGAAGAACGAGTATTGTTCGCGTACGCCTGGGGGCATAGTACTTTCTTCCTGAAATTACGACGTCAGTTGTGTGTTTCCGCTTATAGTCCACCATGTCCAACTTCATACTTGTAGTTGGAGCACTAAGCTTGCGTGAGGTTAAGGGAACTCCCCAAAGCTGTCCTCCAATCCAAGTGTGAACGGCTCAGTTTGGCTTTTAACTTCTCCTCAATGCTTTCTTCCAGTCCATGTGGGCCATCTCCAAGATCATAAGGAGAATCGAGTCGACCAACATTATACGATGTTCATAAACAGAAAACGAAATCCTCAAGCAGCATCCGAAACAACACGCGAAACGCTGGAAGACCTTTGTGGACGATGAATGCGAGGAAAACACATCGAATGCAAGAAGTGTTGTGATCAGCACAGTACTTGTGATGATAGATCATAGTAATTAACAAATAAATAGCACTAAGAAAACAATTAAGCTAGAAATTAAAAAAAAGGATAGAGCTGTCGGCGTCGATCAATCCCTGAGGGATGCGCCATGCGTTCGACTTTACTAAGCATTGTTTGGAGGTGATTGAATACATATCTGGCCTTTACAGTGACTCACAGTGGCCAGCAATGTATCGTGCCAGTGCTGCTATTTTCCCCGGAGGGATGGAAGGCTTGGTAGGCCATGGACGCGGGGATCGATTCCACATGTCACACGCACACTAACGGCTAGAAATTAATCCTCAATGAATGTTGCCTTAATTGTTTTATCTATGCTGACTTATTAGTGGTCAGTCCATACATGTCCAAGAAATTTTTTCTTTGCCGTAGACATCGAAAAATGCCTCATAATGACTTAACATTAGCTCCGGGATAAACAAGCTGCAGTCGTCATTTCCTTCCAAGTATCGGCATCATTTATTCTAAGCTGACATCTTTTTCCAGAAGTTTGCAAGATTTCCATACCGGGGCCTTCGGTGTTAGATTAGAGGCCATTATAATTGTTGCTTACTAGTGTTTTCCTGTACAGCGAACGAAGAGGTCCGACTTTTTATCGAAACATAAATTGAAAAATCTTTAAAGAAGTCCATTATGAGAATTCAAACTAACCATTAGATCAATAAATTTGTCTGTTCCTGTAGAGCTCATTGAAACCAGACCAGTCGGATATGCTGACTAATGGAACTGATGTCGATGAATAGTGGAAGTGCTTGACAAAGTTATGGTATCTCGAGTTAGCGTTCTGGTCACTTATAACGCGGATCATGCCTGTGTAGATCTGTATAAACGTGTATAAACCTGTACAAACCAGAATAAACCAGCGGAACAAAATTTTTCGTCCAACATTACCGGGTAACTTTGCTTGCAAAAAAAAACTGCTGATAGTTTGTTTATGTGCATGTCTAGTTCTATTTGGAGCGTCAGTAGCGTAGTGGTTACTGGGTGGCCGTACAACACATACCCAGTTTGTTTCTACACCGCGCTTCAGACAGATCAAGTCTCCACACCAACGAATTCAGTACTTTGATAGCAGTTAGACACGTTTGGGTGTAATTTCAGTGTTAGGCCAGATACGCACTCGTTCAACACTGCGATACGTAACGGGACGAATGCATGGCGCATACCTAAAGGATTGATTATAGTGGAACCCTTTTCCTCTATCCCTCATTGGTCTTTCGATCTGTGAAGAGTTCGTAAAGAGTTTATCAATCTCTAAAAGTTTATACCAGAGGTTCAACTTTATCAAGGATTGTATATGTGATTGAATACATATCTGGCCTATACTGGTTGCGGAGAATTGCGGTTGTCTGCCGATGTGTCAAGTCAGTGCTGTCCTCGCAGACAAATCTGGCACCAGTTTACTGACCCGGGAGAGGTGGAAAACTTGGTGATGCAACGGCGCGAAATCGAACCTGTAAATGGTACAGTGTGCTTTACGGGCTACTTCACAACGCTACAAGCGCTTCTAATGAGATGTAATCAAATACGAATCTATGGAGTGATGTCATATTCTTGATAATGAGTTGAAGGAGAAAAGATATCCTGTGAGAAAAAAAGTAAGCAGCGTATCCGACTCTGAGTTGATGAATCTACTACCTAGCAAAAGAGTAGCGTTTCTTCAATTTCTATAAACTATGACTTCGTTTTCCCAGTGTATCGAACAGATGGTTTTTACAGCTATGTTTACGTCATTTTGGCTACGATGCTGTCCAAGCTATTGACGCATTACTGGAGCGGAACGAGAGGTTACCGCTTGCGCTACGTCTTGTTGAAAACGCCGATCTGACATCGTCATCGACCGAACGACCGACGTTGCCTGTATTTTCATTCCAAAATGACGGTTAGTTCAATGTTATTATTTCATGACACAGCCAGATGTTGAGGGGTAATAAACAATGTCGGAGTGCGGGATGCCTTGCGGTTCTGTCCGCTCGTCAGCACTTACGGAATTGTATGCTTTGATTCCAACTCATGTGCTTATTGATTGTTTTGTTTCATTCGCTGTATTCTTTGTATTCATTCGATGGTTTTTTCAACACAGATGTAGTCGAGAGTGTGGCCCATGAACGGCTTTGATGGCGGTTTAATTAGTTTAGAAAGGGTTTTTTCGTATAAATTTTCCAATGTACGCCTTACGCTCCAACGATTTAAGTATGCTGCCAAGTTTTTACAGCTTACCTTGACTTTATTCTAGTATTTTTATACCTGAAAATTCCATACTATAGGCATAATTCATCAGACCGACTAAAATGAAATAACATTTAGTTGATAATTCACTTACTGGTCGATGAACTCGTCCGAGGTGTTTTTTGTAAGCTATTTAATCCAGAGAACCTCTTTTTGACCTTAGCTCTCCCATTTTGGTCTGCCTCTATTTCGATTAACTATCAAATGAGTACACTCAGTCTGGTGAACAAAGAAGTTTTAGCACCTGCTGAATTGAAAATGGACACCACATTGTGCATAATGTCGTGAACGAGTTGAAATGGTTGGCTATGAATTGAACGGTGACAACTTTTTTGATGCTTTTATTATTCAGACGTGATCACGTCTCTACTATCGTCTCGTCAACAACAAGTTTCTTCGGCGCAAAACGCGACTTCTGATGGTCAAACGGCTTCAAAAAGCGAAAAGGCATTTAAGGTGGTTCACAGCTGTTAGGTAGCTTGTAGACTAATTCAGAGGCAACTTATGGAACCAGACATTTCATTGGTTTTTTTCCTTTTTAACTCATATCGCTCTTCATTTTAAATGTATCGATTTTTGTGCAAACAGATGTCTCTGGCTCCGAAGGCCACATTATTTACGCCTGTAGTTGTTTTTTTTTTTGTTTAATGTGTACCACAATGTCACTAAATTTCTCATTCTTGCTTGAAATTTATGGAAAGTTTATTAATTTAGGGTTTGATCAGTCTAGCTCCAATTGTGCCAACACCACCATCGTGTGCTACTGTTGTTAAGAATGAGTCAGAAAAGAAGCCTATCAATGAGGTGACATCCTGATAATGTCAATGAGTTCATTTTCGGGATTTAAGGGTTAACGATTCTTAACTTAGGATTTTTTGTTTACTGCTTTCTTTGACATAAACTATCTAAGTAAAATTTTTCGAAACCGACCTTCCGTAAACCTCGGTGTGACAAATCAATATGTATTCTTTCTTGATAAGCTTGCACGAGGTTGATAAATATATTTATTTTCGGCTAACGTTTCGACGTCTTCGTCTTCCTCAGAGCCGGTGATCCGAGTCGATGGTCCATGCTTGTTGTTCGCCTCGACGTTGCGTCTTCGCCTTCCTGTCGAGCCAGATCTTCCTCAGCGAGCCATCTTCTCGAATGAGGCATCCTCACTCAGTGATGCCCTTTTATACACGATGCTGATGGTAGATATATAATGACAATGTCCGGTGGTAACAACTTGTATTTCTTCCGGACATACATCATTGCGCACATCGTGCAGAGGTCGGTGTGTTATCAGCTAGCACAAATTGATTTGTCACACCGAGGTTTACGGAAGGTCGGTTTCGAAATATTACTACGCTTTTGTGCTAGCTGATAACACACCGACCTCTGCACGATGTGCGCAATGATGTATGTCCGGAAGAAATACAAGTTGTTACCACCGGACATTGTCATTATATATCTACCATCAGCATCGTGTATAAAAGGGCATCACTGAGTGAGGATGCCTCATTCGAGAAGATGGCTCGCTGAGGAAGATCTGGCTCGACAGGAAGGCGAAGACGCAACGTCGAGGCGAACAACAAGCATGGACCATCGACTCGGATCACCGGCTCTGAGGAAGACGAAGACGTCGAAACGTTAGCCGAAAATAAATATATTTATCAACCTCGTGCAAGCTTATCAAGAAAGAATACATATCTAAGTAAACATTGAGATCTACAGATTTTTCTATTGAGAAAATGTGAAATGCTAACGATTCAAAGTTACAGTTAACGAAGGAACTTCGTGGGGCTTTAGAACGTCTCAAGTTGCGTAGAGGAACATTAGGAGAACTGTTAATGGAAGGTCAACAAACAATGGAGGACCATGAATGTCTTGTACCAATGCCTACTGCAAAGAAGTGAATACTGCAACTATTTCAGCAATAGAAATTTTTGCTTTTTTTAAATGATTTAGGCATTGAGCCCATAAGCCAATTTCACCTGTTCCTTATGTTACTTTTTTGTTTCTTTCTTCTTTTTCTTCAGTACACATCAAGAAACCAACTTTGAGGCTTTTTAGGTATAACATTTGTTTGCTAGACTATGTTTTGTTCATAGCTATACTCAGCCAATCAAGATTTTATTATCTTTATTGGTTTTCTATTCAGACCTAGACTTCAGATACGCTGGTATCCAAAAGTTCAAGATATCCGAAGCAGATAAAGTTGCGATTCGACCAACATACCAAAAGTACTATGAGACGCCACTTGATGATATGTACGACGATGAATATGATGATGGATATGAACAGAAAGAATTTACTGTTGAACCATTGAAGTAAGTTAATGTTGCGTTAAACTGGTCGGAAGTCTGAAAATAAATGTACCGATTCCGGTTCCAGTGCTCAGCTGTCGTCAGAGAGTAGTGAAGAGGACTCGTCTGGATTGAATGATCTTACCATGTCGAACAAAGGAAGTCAACATGGAAAGGTCGTAGATGCTGACCGAAATCCTACGGGTTTGTGAGATTAGTTTCTCAGGGAACACATGTTTTTCCAAATTGCTTTCCAAAAAATAGACCAAATTTATCTCCATGCGATTTCCTTGAATATTCCGTCATTGTTCGCTTTTATTATCTTCTGTTCTGCCTACTGTTATGGCTCATTGCTCTCATTTCATTGAATGAATCCAGCTCATTAAATCGTTCTCGATCGATCGGACCTTTATTGGCAAAAACGGCAAAGCAGTGAGCCTCGTTCTGATTCACGTAGACCAGCGATTATTTGTGGTTGCTACGTCAGTGATAAGGAGATACAGATTCTTAAGCCGTGACCGAGATGACATGCCTACTTGCTCACCGCTTTCAATGAAAATCGGAGGACGACAGACGAAACGAGTGGAAGAATTTTTAGGGTCCGAAGACCATATGAAGATCGTCGGTGGACTTAGTATATGAATGTGTGGATTGAGTGGACTTCTAAAAGAATGTGCATCTAGATTTACGATAGTAAATAGAAGGTTTTGCCTAACCGATGTCGCTGTTGTCCTAAAATTCTACACGGGACCAGACCATCGTCTCCTTGGTGCAAGATTCTATTTCTCGCGGAAAGGAGAAAAAGCCGCTAAATTCCAAAGCCGAAGTCCCAGAACCACCGTAAACTGAGATTTATTCAATTCAATTAGTCGGCTGTTGGGAAGATTCCGTTGTCGATAACATCGACGAAGAATACGATCGGCTCATTCAACATCTTCACGTTAACGCTATGAAAGCTCAGAGTATGAATGTCACAAAGAGACGTCTGTCTCCATGAACACTCGACCTCATACGCCAGCGCGGAGTCGTACGAGCTGCAGACAACCGCGAACTAACATCGGAACTTGCAAAGCAATCTAGGTCGGGAAATCAATATGATGAACAACCTAGCTCAAGAGTTGAGCAGAAGAAAGCGAGCAGCTTTGGAAACTTTTAAGAGCATCGAGGATGTAGTGAAGAGAACAAAGAACACCCGACTCCGTGCCCACCTTTTCGACTCAACGGTACTTCTTGCCCCAATGTATGCGTCAGAAACCTGGTGGATGAAAGGTTGTTATTATAGAATTTATTAGGATACAATAGCTGCTTAAGCAGGATGAAAGGTCACTCAGCATTATCGAACGCGCAGTCGAGAGGACGATGCTAGGAGTATCCCATTCCACACAAGTAAGGGATGGGAGCCGAAGCTCCGATCTGCGTCAACGATCAGAAATCAAAGATGTCGTTCTGTACGCTAAACAGTCGAAGATAAAATTGGCAGGGCACGTTATGCGTATGGATGACAACTGATGGATAAGAGCCGTCAGTGACTGGACTCCTCGGGATGTCAAACGTACTACAGAAAGACTACCGTCCAGATGGTTAGACATCTTCACAAAGAGCCTTGAAGAGAGTTATGATGCTCGACGAGTCCCTAGAGCGAGCAGAACCCACTGGGCTACTTTTGCACGCGACAGGGAAAAATAGAAGATTTACTGGCGCCCGCTCAAGTCACTCGACGGTCAACGGGACTACAGGTGATACAGGTGATTGGAATGGTGCTGAGATATTTCATCGACGTCTTCCGTATTAGATAGGAAATCATTAGGCACCGATATTTTCGAATATGGTTTTTTCTCCATTCTGGAGCTAGCTATTCTAGAGCGTTCCCAGATCTGTGCGAAAGGAAGATTCCGACTATTATGAACCGAAGAGATGTTTTTGCCGGTAGAATTTTTCTATAACGGTGGTGTTTCCTCTGATTAGGGTCGAGTATTGATCAAGTACGATATGAGAGGCTAAGTCTCTTTTCCATCCTCTATCGTAGTGTACTTTTTGCAATAAAAGATGATGCTAAATAGGCGTCATTTTATATCTGCCTTATTCACGGCTTTACATCGGCTTCTGTCAAATATAATACACAAAAATCACTTTCCAGTGGGTAAAGCAACTTCCAGAGCTATCAAGGGAGAATCCGGAATGGGCGATAAGCAAACAGCGGCAAGAGGTGATCGTTTGCCAATTGGCATAAACAGTGTTCTTTTCTTTCTATTCATTAGATGCTATAAAGGTACTTCGTCACGCAGCAACTACGCCGTTGGGCGGCAGCGCCAAATCAAGGAACGACATAAGAATGCGTTCAAGCAACGCGGTGCGGACAGAAAGATGCGTGGAATGTACTAGTCATTACTTCAGTTTGTAGAAAACATATCACTTTTTCATTCATCATTTATTTTTCCTAATGTTGAAAATAAATTAAACTTTTGCAATTTTTAAGGACTTAAGTTTTAAGATATGAAGGTAGGACAGTGTTCATGGAAGAATCAATAGCTTTGATAATCAGGCACGAAAAGACATTTAGCCAGTGAATGAACAGCTAGACATTGTTGGTTTGTTATAGCGTGAAATATATATATATATATATATATATATATACATTGACGTAAATTTAATGAGATATCGAACATGATGTTCAAATTGGATCACCGTCAGGGCTCATTCGTGTTGGTAGACCTGCAAGAAGAATACGATTTGATATCGATATCGCTCTAAGAAACGTCTGTGATATGTCAATACTTTGTTATTCACACTAATCATATCCAACGTAGTCGACGTGAATACTATTTTCGTTACCATATTTTATTCTGTATGCTTCAAGTTCTTGTTCTCGTTCGGCTCTACGGAATGAATGACGATTTTGCATCTCGGCTCGTTTTAACTCCTGTTGCTGAAATTTGTAACCAACTTGGACTTAATCGAGTTCATCTTAGTGAGAATATTCGATAACTTTATACTCGAATACTCGTATTTATTCGTACCGTTTGTGTTGATTCGAATGAATATCGAGTGAATGAGTCAAATTTATGCAAATCAATAAATGGTCTATATTGTTTAGTGAGGACGCGTAGCTTCAGAGGTGCACTACCACGCACTGCCACACATAAGGTCACTGGTTCGGTCACGCGTTCGGGCTAAGCAAACTCTCCTCCTTCCAGGGTCAACAAATTGCTACCAGAGTTGTCTATTACGATAAAACTACTAGATTAGTGCATTGATAATGGTATCCCGCAAGTCGTGGTGTAGGTGAAATGCACATTTGGTCATCTTTACGTGGCACGAATGGATTCGGATGCATGGCGGGTTCTTAAGGCATTGATGATTACGAAGCGATTCATTCTTTTCCAGTGTTAATGATAACTAAATAACTGATTTTGGAACAAGAGTTGCTCGCAAGAGTTCGGCAGGTCTCCGCCATAGAGTCCATAATGAAAAATGAAAGCATGAGCAACAAAAAAATGACTGATGGTCCCACTACAGTTGGGTGAACTGTGAAGCTGGTAAATTTACATAAATAATTTCGCTCACAAAGTTCCATTTTTCTCCTTTTTGTTTTGCCTTTGCTTGTTCGTAAGCTCGACATCGGCAACAACAATAGCATAAACAGGATATGAAGATTACGAGTAGGATGCCAGCAATCACGCTGACCACAATTACTACAGCCGAGAGGTTCACTGTAAAATATACGATCAACAAAGCGTTCTAAGTAATTTGGTATTCATTTCACCATAAATGAACTCTGAGCACTGGAAAAAGGTGTATTAAGGCTGAAATAATATCTAATATGTGTAGCGAAGTAATTAGAGGTGCCTTCCAATAAATACACTGTTGCTGGTTCGGTCTTATGCCCTGTCCTGTTCAGCGTCGGCAAATTGTGGGCAGACTTCTTCAAAATGATAAAAGCACTGATTCCAACCTATGAGGTTTATTCTTTAACACAAATATGCATTCAGTCCCCTTTACGATACCTCTTGAAGTCGGATGCATCGCGCGTCTCCAAGAGACTGATCAAGAACGTTATCTTTTATCCTTTATCTTACGGGTGCATTGTAGCTCATATCTCATAGTTCACCTTTTCGATTAACTTTTTGCGAGCTCCGTGTTTGACACTAAACCATACATTAAGCAAAAAAGCAAGTGGCGTCGATGCACATTCATGGAACTTGCTTGTATACAGCTATAGAACTTATGTTTTCATTGAATATTGGTGATCCTCAAGAAATTCCTCGTTAACCTTTGCTTCTTGTTTGACTGCTAACTGTTTCAAAATTATCTGATTGCTGAACCCTACTCTCTGTGGGATTTCTCGCTGTTACTATGTAGTTGACAAGTTCGTTTGCCTGGTGAGATCACGCAAGAAGAGCAGTTCCATATTTTATTTCTAAACGCAGTTAAAACACAGCCAACGCCAGGATCGAGCTCGGGGACTTATCACATCCTGCTATCTACCTTGTGGCAAGAGCTGTAAAACTAATATACCTCGTACAAATACGATGTCATTCAGGTCTCTCGAATAAGTGCAGTTCACCTGTCACTCGTTTTATGGTCCGTGACTGACACTTGTGAAAATTATACTTATACTCGCGAGAGTTATTCAGTTGATTAACAGGACTACACGGAGTATACTTGATTGTAAGCAGTGTTTTTACAATATAGTATAACAAGTATTCGTATCACACTGCATCAGGATTTAATATTGCATAGCAGAAGTCGATAAAGAAGTAACCTTGATGAATCTTCAGTTTTGTTTTTACTGCACTGTTTGCGGAATAGATCCATCTCTACATCTATTTTGAGTTCTTCTCAGGAATTTTTCAATCTATAACAGCGATAGGAAGGCCACAGTTAGGGGCGCATGTAGCGCAGTGGTTAGAGGCGCAGCCCAACAATACACATGGCCTTCCTCGGAAAACTCTTGGGTCGGAAAATTGGTGCCGGACCTGTCTGAGAGGGTATCAGCACTGACTCGATACAGTGATAGGCTACCACTAGTCACTGCATAAGCCAGATATGCATTCAGTCATCTTTAACGATACTCAATTAATTCGAATGCATGGCCCTTCACTCAGGGATTAATCAATGCCGATATCTTTATCCTTTTTAATAGCGAAAGAGGCGAGTGTAGCACGACGGCGGAAGTGCCGCATAGTTCACCCGTGGTTATTGATTCAATCCCCGTCCTGGGCATATCATGCGCTCTATCCGTCTCAAACTCCTACCAGGCTTGACTTGGAAGATAAAACACTGACTTGATACATCGATAAGATCCTGTAGATCATGGTATGGACCAAGTGTGCATGCAATCAGCTGTGCGCTGCCAAGAATGGAGTCGAATACGTCCTTAAGGGATGAACAACTACGAAGACTGTGCGTTTTATAATATCGACAAGCAGTAGTTACTACTGTTATTTTTCTTCTGCCCAATAAGAGTATAATAATTTCCAGAGATATGACTTTCGGTTATATTTTCGGACTAGCGCGATGGTTGACCAATTAGTAAGCAGTTAAAGATACTCTTTAAATAACCTACAAAGAATAAGCAGGTCTTTGTTGATAGTGAGGTGATTCTTTATGGACTTACCCCAGCATTTATTGTGTCTGACGTCATTCAGCTCACATCCAGGAAAATACCATGCATACGGTAAACAACGCTCTGTACTGCCACCACAGTAGAAGCACTGCTGAAAGCACATGTTGTTCGGATCTTTTCGAACAAGGTCAGATTTAGCGACTATCTCTTATTGTTAATGATTATGAGATCGACAGAATTAGGTGAGAGACAGGCGAAACGAAGGACCCGCATGGTGTGGTGGTGAACGCGTTACTTCCTGGAAAGGACAATAGCGCGTTCGTTCCCCACCGCAGACACCTGCGGTTCGGAGTTCTTCAAATATCTCAGCATCATTGAAGTTAATGATTGTCTTGAACGGTTCAAACGTTGTTAGCTTCATACAACCCCATGAAGTCTTTGTCGAGTGAGTACAGTGAAACGAAATGATGAAAAGTAACCCGACTATAATTTCTTCTTTTCGGGATATTTATCGATCACAGTGACATTACGAGTGTATGTTCCGAGTCCGCTGCTGCACAGAAGAGTCCAAGTAAATAAATTATTCCCTGGGTAGACTTCTGAACTGACCTTGAATAAATTGATAATTTTCTATCTGCTGAGTCGTGACAACGACGGATCGGCATTTCGACGCTCACGAGCCAAGTAAGCATCCCATCCTACCAGAATCGGAAAATTGGTACGACTTGTCTAGCAGGAGCTGGTCCTGATCCATACGGGCTGACGACTCACAGTAATGATGAATTAAAAATGCTCTTGCAGAGCTCTCTCAAAATTTTAGAAACACCAACTCGATCAGTATTCGCCGAGATCCATAAAAAAGGCAAAGTATTCAGATGACAACCGAACCCATACGTAAACCCAAAGACCTACGTAGACGTTGGAAAAGATATAATGAACCGAGTAAAAGAAGTAGCGAAATCGGCATGACATGTGAAGTCGGGCAGTATTAAAAAATAAACAAATAACTCTCTGATAATTCAAATTTACTTCATCGCGTGAAATACTGTGACGTTTCGATAGAGTTCCAGCGGTTATCTCTGTAGCATGAGCAGTAACTGGTAGTGGTCGGAAAGAACGAACGTGCAGTAGTACTTCTGTTATGTTGTCATTTACTTGATATTTGATACTTATTTGAACGGCTTATTTGAACCTCACTGGTTGCGCGGGCCCCGGATTATCACTATTTTTCGGGGATTTGCTAGTTAAGCCGTTGTGGTTCATTGGAATCCTGAGGTCAGTCTAGTCTAAGTCTGCCCTAGGTCTTCACCACCACAAGCAGTCGCAGCCCTTGTGGATCAGAGCGAGATTTGCCACCATACGACTTTGATACCAGAACGACGGTGGATCCTGTTATTGGTTTACTCTTAGGTAGGCTTCCTGATAGAAACGCCGGACTCCTTCTCAGCTTGGGAGGCCCTGCCGGGGGGACGAATCACCTCGCTGTACGTCGAGGTCCGACACCTAGGAGCACCTCCCAGCCACGATAAGGCAGTAAACCGGTGGTAGGAGCCCTCTTCTGAGGGTGTAGGTTGAATCCTGAGGATGTTGTCATTTAGTCAATCATAACTCTTCCACTCTATCAGTAAGACTCCTATCTCCTTATGGTTTATTGCGTCTCATCGTAACTGTATAGAGGTGTAACTTGATATTGAAAAACAAGACTCAAACATGGTTGCTCAGAAGGAGAACTACTTTAAAATCTCTATCTTGAGCATCAGCATAGTGTGAGAAAACGATGTTGTTCTTGGCAAAGCGTAACGGAAGGCCGCACCCTCCTTTAACTTTTAAGCCGACAGCCGGTTTTCTTGCGCCTCGTGAACCTTGTAGGAAAGCTCAAAACTTCAGGGAAGAGGAAAGGAGTCTGGTCATCTAGTGAAATAACAAACATACGAGTTTTATTCACACACTATTTCTGAAAGTAGGCCATCCAAATATGGAAGGTGCTCATATAGCGTAGTGGTTAGAAGCACCCTGCAATACACCTACGATCATCCGATACGTGGGCCAACAAGATTTCATTTCTATGTGATCGGGTAAATACGTATTCAGCCACCTGCACAATGTCAACTGCATGACGTATCTTTAAGAGACTGATCAATTCCGAATACTTAATGCTTTGTTCTTTTAACTATTGAAGGCTTTGATAAGATAAAACGCAGCCTTATATAGAGAAATACCTTGGAAACTAACCGATCCTTTGGCAACACAATTCTCGCATGTATGTGATTCGCTAGGAGTGAATTCACAGTACTTCCTCTCGTTCTCGGTGAATTCCCCGAGACCAACGAGTTGGGAAAGATGTTGCCCTTGGCAGACGGCTATCATTATTACAAAACCGAAACATCGAATCAATGTGTTGATGGACGATCGTGAACTAGTCTGCATGTAGATGTGAAGGCCTGGAAGGAATATAAGAAACTGTTTCCTTTGGAAAAAAGATGATAAGAAGATGAGTTTTTATTATAACTAGCGAAATGGACCACGCAAACAGGAAGAGTTGAAGGTGAACTGATGAAAGTAGAATGAATACAGGAATTAATAAATTAACATTTCAGTTAAATACGGTTTTGCAAAGGATTTCCTTCACAAATCTACGTTAATCGAAGTTCGCGTATAGGTTTCGAAATGCGATATGTAACAGAGGACTCATTGCCAGTACGGTCATCCAAGCTGAGAAGAATTTTGGTATTCCTCCAGAAGTACTGATAAGAAGCATCAGCAGAACTCAGTGACTTATCACCCGCTACGTTTCCTTCCAGTCATAACAAAAGCATTGCACCAAACATCTCGTGTTCTTTGGTGTACTTTAATCGAGCGAACTCCAAGTTTCAATACACAGCAGTGGCGAATGGTGCTTACTGCTGATCATTTGAGATATTCGATGATTAACGAGACTACAGGCGACAAACAGATAGAGAAAATCCATATTACGTCAGAAATCATTTTGATGTGAAGGACAACGGATGAAACATCCAGCGTCGATCAATCTCTTAGAGAAGCGGGCAGGCGTACATATCCCGGATTGAGCCAAAGACATTTTCAGCATTGCAGAACACTTCTCACCATCACCATTATTCCGTAAAATATCTCGAATACGTAGATTTAAGGAGGACGACCCACCTACCGCATACGATAACTACTTCCTGTCTGATGAAAGTGTTACGCTGAGAAAGTGCAAAAAGTGTGACGATGTTTTTCCTTGTCAGTTCCATTTCCTGATTATTGATCGAAGAATTCATGGTGAAAATATCACCAGTCCTCAGATTTTTATTGGAAAATGTGTGGATCAGTCGTAATTGCTCGTTTGTCTTTCCATCTATGATCGTAATCCAAGTCAAAGATCGTGGTAGTTAAGCTTCTAAACTGTAAATGTTCAGTATCAGCTCTATGTGAATTGATTCCCTCACATACACTTCAAAAATAACGAGCACTTTCAACTTTGAACCAACATATCTCAGCTCATAGTGAATTTTATTAAAGCATAACACCTATGATGCATTGAGTACAATGCATTCTTCCCGAAAATATTACTCGCTTTCAACTTCGAATCGAAATATTTCACACCATAGCAAGCTTCACTAGCTCAAATGAAAACCATAAGTTACTGCAGATCTTTGCCTACAAAATACAGGTTCTTTCCCACTCTATCACAATGATATTCTGATTTCCTGGGCTCGGAAAACATCACATTTCGTTTTTCGTTTTTCTTACTGAAGCTCATATTTCAAACAAAGGAGGCGTATGGTCTGACTGGACGTCGTAATGTTCTCGAATGTGTTGTTGATGTTTGGTGAGCTCATATTAGGAATTCTAAGAAATAAATTTCGTTTCCATCTTCTTTTGAAAAATCGTAATTCTAAAGGATTTCTAAAATAAAGTAGCGCTTCCGGAGAAATTCACATCTAATCTTAATCTTATTTGTTTTATTTTACATGACCCGTGATCACATCTACTGTGCGGATCCAAGCACTTCTTGCATTTGATTACTTATCCTCTCATCGGTTATCCATAAAGATCTTCGAACCTGTTCTTTCGGTTGCTGCCTGAGGATTTCGTCTTCTTTATGAATGTCGTAAGGTAGTGGTCCAGCCGATTCTCCTTGCAACTATGGGAATAGCCAAGTTAAGGTGTTCCCATGCGTCGTCATCCTTAGTTAGACGAAGTAAGGTCTCTTCTATGAGCCTTAACTCACTAGATACCGCACTTATCGAGGAAATTATCAGTTTTTGTCAAAAAACCATTTTTGCTCTCCAAGTGTTGCTCTAGTTGTTTCATTTGTTAACCATGAAATGCATGTAAAAGGAATGTCTAAGTATCGGTTATCAACTGAGTTTTTATTAGTTTAATTCCACTAGGATACAAAGCACATATTAGTATCTGTAATGAAAGTGATGCGCTTTAGTTGTTTGAATAACAAATAACGAACAATAAGCCATAGATAACAACACTTGGATATATTGAGGACTTGATTACTTGAAGAACTTCTAGAACAGACTTCACTCCAGGTACCCTGCAACACACACATGGGATCGATCCCGTGCCCATGGCTCACCAAGCCTTCCATCCCTCCGGGATCGAGAAATTGGTACAAGACTTGTCTGGGAAGATAGCAGCAGTAGCTTAATATATTGGTAAGCCAACGCGAGTCATTGTAAAGGTCATATATGCATTCAATCACCCCCAAGTCATGCTTTATACACACATGGGTGCAAACGAGCTTAATGAAGTCAATGAATCATGCTTAATGAAGTCAAATGCGTGGCGCAAACCTCAGGGATTGATCAACGCCGAGAGCTTTATTCTTCATTATCGTGTCTTTCTGAACGAAATTGTGCCATATTCGATCGCCTCTTTGCTTGAGAGAACCGAGTTTCTCTATGAGGGAAAAAAGGTTCTTGTGCAAAAAAAAAACGAAAAGAAAATCAGAATTCTGTCATGGCAGGATGAATAAACGTATCGCTTGTTTCAAATGATTTAGTGACTATAAGGATTTCCAATTCAATCAGTAAACTACTATGAACGGTTTACCGCCTCACTGTGGCTGAGAGGTGTTCTTGGGTGTCGGACTGCAATGTACAGCACGGGGATTCGTCCCTGGCAGAGTCTCCCAAACTGAGGAGTCCGGCGTTTCTACCAGGAAGCCTACCTAAGAGTAAACCAATAACAGGATCCACCACCGTCCTGGTATCAAAGTTGTATGATCGGAAATCACCCTCTGGTCCACAATTGCTGCGACTGCCTGTGGTAGTGAAGACTTTAGCCAGGCTAACCTCGGGATCCCAGGGAATCATAATGGCTTAATCAGCAAGTTTACGAAAAATGGCGATTATGCTGCGGCTCACACAACTAGTGAGGACGGGTCGTTCAAGTATCGAGTAAGTAAGTAAGTAAACTCTACTATAAGCTGTGGTATATTCGTCCAAAGTACTGACACTAAACGATATCTGTTCACATAGGAATGGAAATAAGACGCATAATGTTGTGATTGGTAGCAATTTCACCATAGTCTTATCAATTGAGAACCAGCACTCAATTTTCATCATCGGCATTACTTTTAAAAGTCAGAAATTTGGAAAAAAAAAAGATAATATTGGCTTATATGGTGTACAGTGGATGCGTAACGGCAAAATCTAAACGCTGTTCTTTTCAGCGATTTTTTTCTTGTCATTTATGGATACTAGCAGAGTTTTGGTTTGATAATTAAGTGAACAATGCAGATATTACTTCAATGATGCAGAGATATTTGCAAAACTTCGGACCGCAGGTGTCTGCGGTGGGCAACGAACGCGCTATAGTCCTTTCCGGGGAGCAACGCGTTCACCACCACACCATGCCGGTCCTTCGTTTCGCCTCTCTCAGCTAGTTCTATCGTTCTCTGCCATCAGCAATCACTCGTCAGCAGGATTGATCTGGGGAGCCCAAATCGGCAACGAACCCAGTTAAGCTGCGGCTGCAGTTATAATCACAACCTTTGACT